TCATTTCTAATTCTTGGATGCTTCGCTGTAATTTTGCGGTTCATGTCGAAGATTCCCAGGCGTAAAGGAAGATGGAGAAGGCCAACGCACACAACAATATGTCTGACTTTTGATTTCAACCAGATGTGCTTGTCTTTCGTTTGTTTGTTTGGTTTGTTTTACGGCATATCAGCGTCAATGGTTCATTTAATCCCAACATGATTTTTATTGCTGGCAATAATTAAAAAAAAAAAACAAACTGTATTACTGGTATTAAAAGCTATTTTTACACTTTCATAGTGTTTTGACCCAAGATTGGGGATCAAATATTTGCCCACAGCTAGGACCCTAACAGGTTATTTGTTTTTGTTTTACGGAATATCAATCTCACTGTGTTATTTAATGCCAACAGATATTATTTATTGTTGGTAATACTTTTTTTCAAAAAATATATAACTGGTACTATTTTTTCCAAAAATGTATAGCTAGCAATAATTTTTTCAGAAATGTATAGCTAGCAATATTTTTTTTCAAAAAATGTATAGCTGGTAATATTGTTTTTCAAAAATGTATAGCTGGTAATATTTTTTTTTAAATGTATAGCTGGTAATATTGTTTTACAAAAATGTGTAGGTGGTAATATTTTTTTAAATGTATAGCTGGTAATATTGTTTTACAAAAATGTGTAGCTGGTAATATTTTTTTTAAATGTATAGCTGGTAATATTTTTTTTCAAAATTGTATAGCTGGCAATATTTTTTTTTAAAAAAAGGTACAGCTGGAAATATTTGTTTTCAAAAAAATGTATAGCTGGTAATATTTTTTTTCAAAAAATGTATAGCCGGTAATATCTTTTGATAAAAAATGTATAGCTGGTAATATTTTTTCAAAAAATATATAGCTGGTAATATTTTGTTTTTCAAAAAATATATAGCTGGTAATACTTTTTTTTCAAAAAATGTATAGCTGCTAATTTTTTTTTTCAAAAAATATATAGCTGGTAATATTTTTTTTCAAAAAAATTGTATTTTTTTTTCGCTGGTAAGTAATATATTTTTTCAAAAATGTATAACTGGTAATATATTTTTTCCAAAAAAGCTTCTGGATCTCCTAAAGGCCTTCAGAGGCCTTGCTGTTGGACGTATTTTACCGTCTTACCCAGGACGCGGATGTAGTTTATCGTCTAACCCAGGTTCGTCTTGTCTTTCCAGACGGTTCATAGATTTGCTTCAGCTGCCTTTGTAGGTATTGCTCTTTAAATTATTTATATTCTGGAGCTCTTCTCGCTGATAATAGAACCACGATATCTAAATTGTTTTATTGGTTTAAATTGCTAACTACAGACTAATTTTTGTTTGAAAGCCCTTTCTCATTGTTCGTCTTGAGTTTGGGTTTTATGTCAGTAATCTCCATGACATATTTAGAGAAAGTTCCATCTAGCATCTTCATCAGGCTGAGGAGTTCTTCTTTGTCAACTATACAACATCACCAGAAAAAAGAAGGGTCTGGTACATATTTACTTAGCCTGAATTAGTCTAGCCGAGAGTAGAGGGTTACAACTCTTCTACATGTCTTTTGGGTCCAGTAAATGATCGCAATTTTAGTGTATTTTTGTTAATATTTAAATATTAAAACAAATGTTTTTCCTTTTTTTTTTACCATAACAGTATAGGTGAGATAGTTTTTGCAACACTTCAGGTTAGTGGGTTGTGTGATTTATATTGTATAATTTATCCCCATCAACTAATTGAAAATTAAATAGAAACAAACATTTTAATTGATGACAAAGAAAAAAGAACGAAAGGATTTTTGTCCATATCTACATCGGCGCGTTAGGAATATAGAGCCGCACCTTAAAGTCGACTTTTAGATTTTGACTCAAAAATTAATTCATGAAGACAGAATTTATAAGAATGTTTAATTTATGTTGTAGAGGTCTAGTTGTTTCTCTCGCAGCGTTTCAGACGCTGGTGTTACCATAATGTAGTATTCTAGTTGTTTCTCTCTCTCCGTTTCAGACGTCGGCGTTGCCATAAAGTAGTGGTCTAGTTGTTTCTCTCTCCGCGTTTCAGACGCTGGTGTTACCATAATGTAGTGGTCTAGTTGTTTCTCTCTCCCCCGTTTCACACGTCGGGGTTAGCATAATGTAGTGTTCTAGTTGTTTCTCTCTACCCGTTTAACACATCGGGGTTAGCATAATGTAGTGTTCTAGTTGTTTCTCTCTCCCCGTTTCAGACGCTGGTGTTACCATAATGTAGTGGTCTAGTTGTTTCTCTCTCCCCGTTTCAGAATCTGGTGTTACCATAATGTAGTGGTCTAGTTGTTTCTCTCTCCCCGTTTCAGACGCGGGTGTTAGCATAATGTAGTGTTCTAGTTGTTTCTCTCTCCCCGTTTCAGACGCTGGTGTTACCATAATGTCTAGTTGTTTCTCTCCCCCGTTTGGTAGTGGTCTAGTTGTTTCTCTCCCGTTTTCAGACCCCGTTTCAGACGTTTCAGACGCTGGTGTTACCATAATGTAGTGTTCTAGTTGTTTCTCTCTCTCCCAGACGTCGGCGTTAGCATAATGTTCAGACGTGGCTGTTATGTTGGTGTTACCAGACGTGGACGAAATGCCTGTAAGGTTGATTCTCCTGCTAGCCGGCCCAACTACATAAAAAGGTTGGACTTGGTTTCCAAAAAAGAAGGAAGAAAGCAAACAAAACAAGACCAATAATATATGTATACACAACAAATATATATTCATAACAAGTACAATACAGGAAACTCCGACGTGAATATTCAGTGTGTTTTTGACCGCTGGTGATTTACCATTTCTTGATTAAGACTAATTTTGTAGTGTTTGCAAGCCTGAAAAAGAAAAAAGAGGTCGAGGCGAAGGGGTTATTTTAGCCAGGAAGAGACCTCTGGTGAAAGGGTTACAAGCTCTCCGTTTGAAAACTTTTAATATATAAAGAAAAACGTTCGGCGAATATTGTTCATAATGAAAATGTTCTAGTTGTTGAGATTCGTGATTCGACTGCGTTTTCAGGACGCTGGTGTTATATTTCAGTGAGTTATAATGGCACGTGTTGCGTCGGTAGTGGTCTTTGCTATCAAAATTTGTCCCTCCCGTTTGGTTGTGTCGTCTATGCGGGGGTCTGCTGGCTTGTTTGTAGTTGTTCTGAAAAACGTTGTTTCGTGTGGGTTTCTCGGCGCACTAAAGTTAATAGACGCAGCGTATTCGTGAAGTTGAGCTGAATTTCTGAGTGTCGAATGTAGTTTGGGAGAATTTGGTATTATTGACGATAGAGTATCGTTCTGGCAAAATCTAGTTTGTTTGGGTCTAATTGCAGAATGAGAAGAAGGACGGTTTGCCTTTTAAGACTGCATTGGACATTTGAAATATGGGCAATGTTTAGCATAATGTGGATGTGTAGTCAGTTAGTTGTGTTGAATAGAATGTCCCGTGTGTTTGAGAGGAAAGAAGCAAGCAGTGGCGTGAAGATATTACCGTGGTGTGTTAGTGTTGCTTTCATGTCGGAATCACGAATGTTGTTTTTGAGACAGTGAGTCGTCTCCCAATGGTTTGGAATCACCAATCGTATATAATGGAACAGTGGAGTCGTCCAGTGGTTTGGTTCACACTTTTTCTATTTCAGTCCAGAAGAAAACAGTGTTTAGAAAATAGCGTTGTTTTCCGTTTTGTTTCAGATGTCTGCCTGGTGAAATTAGGTCAAACGTCGCCGAGAGAAAAAAAAGGGTCAAGCAAATATAGACCAGTGGGTAAAAAGAGTGGTCTTCAATAGTAGTAATTGTTGTTCTTTCGTTGATAGTGTACGAAAAAAGTTTTCTCAATTTTTTTTCCTAGCTCTTTTTGGGAAGGTGTGTGTTAAGAAATTGTTTGTTTTGTACATATATATCGTCTTGTGTGTTTTAGCAGTGGAAAAAATCACGTCAGGGGTCACCATTTTAGAGGGCCGTGGCTGTTATGTTCCCGGTTTGTTGAGAGAAGACAGACGTGGACGAAACGCCTGTAAGGTTCAGATTCTCCTGCTAGCCGGCCCAACTAATGTTGGACTTGGTGGTCAAAGAAGAAGGAAGAGAAAGCAAACAAAACAAGACCAATAATATTGTATACACAACAAATATATATTCATAACAAGTACAATACAGGGAAACAGTACGAAGGACAAAGTGTGTGTGAATATTCAGTGTGTGCGACGTGTGGTGTTACCATAACATTTTGAGGTTGATAGTTGAAATCCTCTAGGAAGAAGTTGTTTACCTCGGTGTGTTAGTGCACAAGCCTCCGTTTCAGACGTCAGGGACCTCTGGTGTTAGGAGGTAACTCCGACAATGTAATGTTCTAGTTGTTTTCTCTCTGCGTTTCAGACGCTGGTGTTACCATAATGTAGTGTTCTAGTTGTTTCTCTCACCCCGTTTCACACGTCGGGGTTAGCATAATGTAGTGTTCTAGTTTTTTCTCTCTCCCCGTTTCAGACGCTGGTGTTACCATAATGTAGTGGTCTAATTGTTTCTCTCTCCCCCGTTTCACACGTCGGGGTTAGCATAATGTAGTGTTCTAGTTGTTTCTCTCTCCCCGTTTCAGACGCTGGTGTTAACATAATGTAGTGGTCTAGTTCTTTCTCTCTCCCCCGTTTCAGACGTCGGCGTTACCATAATGTAGTGGTCTAGTTGTTTCTCTCTCCCCGTTTCACACGTCGTGGTTAGCATAATGTAGTGTTCTAGTTGTTTCTCTCTCCCTGTTTCACACGTCGGGGTTAGCATAATGTAGTGTTCTAGTTGTTTCTCTCTCCCCGTTTCAGACGCTGGTGTTACCATAATGTAGTGGTCTAGTTGTTTCTCTCTCCCCGTTTCAGACGCTGGTGTTACCAAAATGTAGTGTTCTAGTTGTTTCTCTCTCCCCGTTTTCAGACGCTGGTGTTACCATAATGTAGTGGTCGTTTAGTTGTTTCTCTCTCCCCGTTTCAGACGCTGGTGTTACCATAATGTAGTGGTCTAGTTGTTTCTCTCTCCCCGTTTCACGTCGGGGTTAGCATAATGTAGTGTTCTAGTTGTTTCTCTCTCCCCGTGTCACACGTCGGGGTTAGCATAATGTAGTGTTCTAGTTGTTTGTCTCTCCCCGTTTCACACGTCGGGGTTAGCATAATGTAGTGTTCTAGTTGTTTCTCTCTCCCCGTTTCAGACGCTGGTGTTACCATAATGTAGTGGTCTAGTTGTTTCTCTCTCCCCGTTTCAGACGCTGGTGTTACCAAAATGTAGTGTTCTAGTTGTTTCTCTCTCCCCGTTTCAGACGCTGGTGTTACCATAATGTAGTGGTCTAGTTGTTTCTCTCTCCCCGTTTCAGACGCTGGTGTTACCATAATGTAGTGGTCTAGTTGTTTCTCTCTCCCCGTTTCAGACGCTGGTGTTACCATAATGTAGTGGTCTAGTTGTTTCTCTCTCCCCGTTTCACACGTCGGGGTTAGCATAATGTAGTGTTCTAGTTGTTTCTCTCTCCCCGTGTCACACGTCGGGGTTAGCATAATGTAGTGTTCTAGTTGTTTGTCTCTCCCCGTTTCACACGTCGGGGTTAGCATAATGTAGTCTTCTAGTTGTTTCTCTCTCCCCGTTTCAGACGCTGGTGTTACCATAATGTAGTGTTCTAGTTGTTTCTCTCTCCCCGTTTCAGACGCTGGTGTTACCATAATGTAGTGTTCTAGTTGTTTCTCTCTCCCCGTTTCACACGTCGGGGTTAGCATAATGTAGTGTTCTAGTTGTTTATCTCCCCGTTTCAGACGCCGGTGTTACCATAATGTCGTGGTCTAGTTGTTTCTCTCTCCCCGTTTCAGACGTCGGCGTTAGCATAATGTAGTGGTCTAGTTCTTTCTCTCTCCCCTTTTCAGCCGTCGGCGTTAGCATAATGTGGTGACTTGGTAATAAGAATGGACAATTGTAGATGTCTGTTTGTTGAGAAGGATAGATGTTTGTTTATTGTTGCCTGAATAACATGACCACAGAATTTATATTAAACGTAAAATACCACAAAACTTGAAATACAAGGAGGAACAAAATGGTTGCAAAATATATCATTTGTTATTCATTTGTGTGTTGATGTACATGCGTAGATGTTATAGATCTGTTGGTGTTATGTTTCTTTGTCTGAGAGTATTTTTATCTGAACTCACAAAAGTTGAATTAATTATAAAGCTGAGAAATGCTCAATAAACTGTAGTTTTAGAAGAATATTTCAAAGAGAAATGTTCTTGTTGCATGTTTGTAAATTTTCTGTATGTTTGTAAAATGTAGTTTGGAAAAGTTCGTACGTACGTGCATGCGTGAATATGCTTTTAACGTCTGACCACCCATGGTCGAGACGAGAATCCTGAAGATCATCATTAGACGAATGAAGAAAGGAGAGAGTGAAAGAAAGCTTGTGTCTGCTATTTATAGATACTGTAATCACGTGACAGGATCGCAGCAAATGGCGGGAAACTTGACTTGGTCACGCGCTGGGAAAACATTTTTACGCGGGTAGATTGCAACGCCCACTTGTGTGTTTTTTGACCAATTAGAAGCTGATATTTCCTGAAAATATTTACTAAGCTGGGCAGGCTCTCTGATCCACCATTTTTGCACAAAAAATGTACAAAACTAGAAGAAAATGGTAGCGGGATGCTACAATGTGATCGAATTTATTTGCATCGCCTAATTAAAATAATTAAAAAAAAAAACGAATCACTAAAATATAATTCTTGCTGACGAAAAGCAACAAAATAAAAAAATAACTTTTCTTTATAACTACGTCGGCGCGTTCGATATATAGAATGATGCTTAAAAATCCGCTTTCAGAGTTTGACTTTGATAAAAGAGAAGTTATATTTTGAGGCGATTTCGCTGATTACTGAAGGCCTTTTTCACCTTCACACTATTTCACTAACTGAACGTTTCTTTTGAAATAATCGTACTCAACAAAGATCTCAAAATATCGCATGACTCTTAAAAATCTATAATTATGAACGTTATTTAAAGATTTTATTCTTCCTCTGAAAGTGTTTATTATTATTATTCACATTGTTCACTATTTCAGTTTTTGTCTTTTAAAAGTAATTGATACTTTACATTCGAAAACACATTTTTACGAAACTATAATTGTTTTGCAGCCCGATAGTCTAACAGTATTGTAGAAGTTGTCGCTAACATTTTTGTCGAGATTTACCAACACTACATTTCGTTCAATTCCGCACACCAATCGATGAAATTTGAATAAGCTGAATTGTTTCGAAAATACTTTGACAAAACCCTACTTTGTGGCTTAATAATTTCTGTCTTTTAATTTCATAGGACTTCATGGTAAACAATGTTTTTTTAAGAAAATTTCTCTTTTTACTTTTAAAAAACGAATAAATTATTATGATTTCTTACTCTTGAACATGCAACATGCAACTGGCCGCGTGTAAATATTTCTTTTTGGAGCCAAATTCGAACTTTTTCACCCATTTGGCCTTGTGATTTCTTTATAGTTCTCGAAGACGCAGGGTCAACTGGAAACTGGATTCTTGTACATAAAATCTTAAAGAAAAGATATGCAAAAACAATATTGCATTTTTATTTAAATACTAGCAGTAGATGTATCGACCATCATAAAGACTGAAAAATAAAATTGACAAAGATTATTGTTTAAGGTTGACGGACACGCATATTTTAATTAGAATTTTTTTTTACGAATTGGTCAAGCTCAAATAAAAACATTGTTTTCAATCGTTATGAGTCTACCGATTGAATAGAATTTTATTATAAACAATTGTCTCGTAAATGGAATTTTTAAAGCATTCTGAATGCAAAAATAAAGAAAAAAGTGTGCAAGACAATAAGAAACACTACCTGCCAAAAAAAGTAAAGTTTTGTTGAAATCGGTTGAAAAATGTGGGAAATCCGATCCCATATATAAACGAAACACACACACACACACACACACACACACACACACACACACACACACACACACACACACACACACACACACACACACAACCAACCTGGGTTTTATAATAAGTATAACTCGATATGAGTTGTCCCCCTTTCATTCTCGTGATGCCTCTTAATCGTGTTTTCAAATTGTGTTTTTCCAATTTTTGGCGCTGTCAGAACCACCGCAATGTAATTTTACGTAGTCCTGTGAAGTTTTGTTGTAATCGGTTGAAAAATGTAGGAAATCCGATCCAATATATAAACGTACAGACACACACACACAATATGGATTTTCTAATCAGTAAGATATATTTGTTATTTTAATCATTAAATTATTTTTGAAATAGTAAGAATATTTTATATGTTAAATAATAACATTTTTAACCCCCCTCCCCACAAAAAATGAAAAATTTATTGTACTGAGCCACGCAAACTAGTAAAACCAATTGTACTTTGTATTTCAATAACTGTTCTTCTCCCTAAAATTTAGTTTCGATCGGTCAATGTATGGCTATTTTAGAGGGTGTGGCGGATGGACGGACTAACGGAAGTCACAGAATTTTATATATAGATGCTTCCTAGAATGTTTTCTAGAAGTTTTCATTAATTTTCTCTTGTGCAATTCTTTTTTTTTACGAATGGTATCTACTCTTGCTAAAGACGATGCCTGTACGTAAATATCTCCATAAAGTTTAATTAATGTTATCCTTAAAGATAAAACATTCGCATATTATTTCATTAAATACTTAATTTCTGTAGTCATTAGCGACAGAACAATATAATTTGTATTCAACAAGTGTTACATTTAATATGTTTTCTTGGTTCTCTTTGGAGGAGGAGTCGTATTCCAATATTATCCTCCCGTAAGTCAATATCGATGTGCGGATAGCGCAACTGCTATCAAAATTCAAATTCTGGGTGAGCCTGCTGTATTCACTTTCACCCAAATACAATTGACATGACTCCGCCGTTTCTTTCACTAGCTATGTATCAAAAAGCCGGGTAGATCGGACTCTCTAGCCTTGGCTGGCAACCGGCCTTAGAGAAGGTAAAGTTTGAATACTAAAATATGAAGAAGACAAGGGGGAATTTTTTTTTCTCTCATGAAACCATGGTAATTCAATGATAATAAAGAAAAGGAATCTGTGGAGAGACATAACTGGCTACGTCCTGAAGAGAGAAAGATTATTCTGAATTCAAGACTGTTGAGAAAGCAACGAGAAACCACTCTCGTGTATTTCCCTAGAATCCATGGCAATTCACAGATAATAAAGAAAAGGAAAGTGTGGAGAGCCATGATCGCATACCGCCTGAAGAGAGGAAGACTATTCTGAATTCAAAACTGAAGAAAGCAACGAGAAACCGCACTAGCGTATTTCCCTAGAATCCATGGCAATTCACAGATAATAAAGAAAAGGAAAGTGTGGAGAGTCATGATCGCATACCGCCGGAAGAGAGGAAGACTATTCTGAATTCAAAACTGAAGAAAGCAACCAGAAACCACACTAGCGTATTTCCCTTAGAATCCATGGCAATTCACAGATAATAAAGAAAAAGAAAGTGTGGAGAGTCATGATCGCATACCACCTGAAGAGAGGAAGACTATTCTGAATTCAAAAGTGAAGAAAGCAACCAGAAACCACACTAGCGTATTTCCATAGAATCCATGGCAATTCACAGATAATAAAGAAAAGGAAAGTGTGGAGAGTCATGATCGCATACCACCTGAAGAGAAGAAGACTATTCTGAATTCATAACTGAAGAAAGCAACGAGAAACGACTCTAGTGTATTTCCCTAGAATCCATGGCAATTCACAGATAAAGAAAAGGAAGGTGTGGAGAGTCATGATCGCATACCGCCTGAAAGGACATGTCATTTAAGTCATGTTACCTTATATGTCAATACCTCTTTCTACATTAGTATTTTTTCAGATTTCTGTCATTTCTGTTAATATTAATCTGTTAATAATAATATTAATAATAATAATAATAATAATTATTATTATTACTATTGAACGATTCTGGAGAATAGAATCCAATAATATCCTTTATAATACTCAATTTAATAAAGGTATAACAGACACATCCATAACAGCCAAATGTGTGTGATATGATGAGAAGTTTTGATGAAAGCAACACAAAGCTTTGCAGGTGAAGCCAGGTTAGAGATACCTTCAGACCAGGTAACCACTCTGCTCAGATGGTCTACGATTGAAGCAATTCCCAAATATCGAAATCTGAGCTCCAGGTCACCTTGGTTGCCTAATCCAACATACTAAATAAAACGCTTGACACCCGGTCATAACGCCCCTCCACTTCTTTCACTCATGATTTGTGAGTTCAGCTCCTAGTGACATGCCGAACTGGTTATGTTCAGTCAACCGAGAAGCAAACCTGAGATACTGAATGGGATATTTACAATAGCCCATCTTAATTCACCAAGATAACACACACACACACACACACACACACACACACACACACAAACACACACACACACACACACACATATATATATATATATATATATATATATATATATATATGTGTGTGTGTGTGTGTGTATATATATATATATATATATATATATATATATATATAATTATTTATTTAAAAATATGATTCCAAATCGCGACATAAGAAGTCCCATGTTTTTTTGAAACATGGGACTTCTTAGGTCATGGATTTGCGATTTGGAATCATATTTTAAATAAAGAATTATATTTATGCTCTACTTTTGTATCGAGCACTATTTTTTAAAAAAATAATAACTAAAATACTAAGGGACTTT